GTATTATAGAAAACTGTGCCTTCTGCTGGTTGGGCCCATGGTGTAGATAAGAAAGTGTATAACTGAGATCAGCACTGTTTCTCTTGCCAACACTCAGGTTTTCTGCCCCAAAGGGTCTCCCACTAGAGCTGGAGAACTGAGCCTCTAGCGTGGCAGGGCTTATGGGAATGAGACTCGGACAGCTGTACAGACCTCCACTGTCTGCCTGCAACTTTGGGTTCATCAAAACCACATTGGAGCCGGGCGGTGGTGGCGCACGCCTTTAATCCCAGCACTCGGGAGGCAGAGGCAGGCGGATCTCTGTGAGTTCGAGACCAGCCTGGTCTACAAGAGCTAGTTCCAGGACAGGCTCCAAAACCACAGAGAAACCCTGTCTCGAAAAAACCAAAAAAAAAAAAAAAAAAAACACATTGGACTCCTGTACTATTGGCTCCTTTTACTGGACAATGGAGAGGTCAAGACCACCTCTTCCAGAGGGACTTTAGCAGGCTGAAGTAAGTGACTACACATGCTTTGAAGATGGATAGTCCAAATTTAGACTTCCCTTCTTGCTTTAGTTATTAAGATGGTGCTGGTGGCTATTGTCACCATTACCTAACAGATCTATTGGAATATAAGCCCAACTCAGGAAATAATGATTTATCTGAATACCATTTTTGATGGGAAAAGAGGTAATGTAAAAAAATATGTTACTTGATAAATAGAAGGTATGGGTTGTGGAGTCAGGCCCAAATTTCAGAGCTAGAACAAATTATCAAACTTCAAACCTGGATCAAAATATCAGTCTTCCATGCATGTGTGTGTGTATACATGCACACACAAACACAAACTTTAAGGCCTTTTTTTTTTCAAGGCAACATCTCACTCTGTAGTTCTAGTTGGTTGGTCAGAAACTCTCTATGGTTGCCCTCCGACCCACAGAGATCCATCCACCCCTGCCTTTGAAATACTGAATAACGGTACTTTTGAAGTAAACTGGGAAGCTCTTCAAGTTTATACTTTGTGGAAAGTGTCCTCCTCCCTTGAAAGCCCCAACCCAAGGCACCATTCTTTGCTGACAGTTTCTCACGCACAGAGAAAAGACATTCCAAGGTGCTCAATAGACATGAGAGAAAGTGGACCTGGTATCTGTAATCCAAAGAGACCCTTAATTAGCACCAGGCCCATTCTTGTCTTCTGACTGGCTGCAGCTTCATCAGCCCTCTAGAGAGCTGTTGTGGGCTGCACTGTGTTCTCCACATGTTCAACTTCTAATCCAGCTGGGAGTGTGACCTGAGAGAGGAGTAGATCTACAGACACCTTCAAGCGTTGGGTTCAATGGACGCTAGGTCAGGTACTGGTGTTCTCATAAGAAGGGAGAAATGTAGTCACAGGGAAGGAAAGACACACCAAGGAAACACAAGTGGTGCGTGTGTGAGCAAGGCACTGCCAAGGATTCCCAACAGCCCACAGGCCCTAAGAAAAGGCAAGGATAGACCAGGACCTTCCCAAAGTCTTCATTTAATACTTAGGACTTCTAGAACTCTGAGGAATACCTTTCTGCTGTTTTAAGCTCCTGGGTATGCGGTAACTTGATACAGCAGCCTCAGGAAAGTTTGGCAGCAATTAGCACTGGTCCCACCATGTGTGCTGACTTCAGATGAATCAGGGCTTCATTGCTCCATTGCTCACTGAGCAGCTCTTTCCTGGAATCTTTGTGAAGGGACGGGAAAAGGCATCAGTCTGTCCTAACCTGAGTCCTGTGCACTGCCTGGCTATTCAGCATAGCACAGGGAAGACCAAGCAGGAGTCCTCATAGAAGGATGTAGTGGGACTTTTATTTCTGGTTCACCATTCCTTCTGGGTTGGGTTACCTGGCATATGCTTGCACACCTGACAAAAACCCTAACAATCACTGATTTCTGATTTCACCTGGCTCCTTACACAGCAGGTTCTATATGAAGACTAGAAGAGAAATGGACACTGTGCAGAAAAACATGTCCACTATTTTCTTTGAATTACAATCTTGATTGTTTTTCTCTGGGTATTCTAGGGAATGACGTGGTCCTCACGAGATAAGGGCATATTTTAAGTCAAGTGTGATGTGTGTCATACTTGAGAGTTCTAGAAATTGGGCAGAAAGATGTGAGGAGATATTAGAAACCAGAGAGGAAGGAATGAATAGCTTTAAAATTGGAGAAGGGACAAAAATCATTAGAAAGAAACATCTCAAGATGCAGGTCCTGTCTCGAGGCACCAGGTTAGAGCACCAGGGAATGGAGCACAGCTTAGAGAACCCCCTGCAATGGGCGTGAGTCTGCCCCTCCCTGTCTCAACTCTCCATTAGCTATCACCAGCTTCAACAAGAGATTTCTGGACAGTAGGACGTGCAGAACGAAGCCTTCCTCAGTTGTGCTCATGGGGGCTGCTGTGTCTAAGGGCTGTAATGACAGCCTTCTTCTCACTATTTTCTCAGTGGAGAGTCCACTGAAGTAGGAAGCTGTGGCCAGCTAGGAGATGCACTGTGAGTTTCCTGATGGAGGAGGTTTTGTGGGGAACCATAAGGGCCCACTGACAAGTAGGGCTTACATGAGATCCTTCTCAAGTCTTTTTTTTTTCTTTCTTTTTTTTTTATTGAAAAAAAAATTTCCTGATTTGGACCTTGAGATTTCTGTCCGGTGCTCCAATGTGGGTCTCTGTCTCTGTCTCCTTTCATCGCCTGATGAAGGTTAATATTCAGGAGGATGTCTATATGTTTGTCTTTGGATTCACCTTCTTATTTAGCTTCTCTAGGATCACGAATTATAAGCTCAATGTCCTTTATTTATGGCTAGAAACCAAATACGAGTGAGTACATCCCATGTTCCATCCATTTGTATGCAAAATTCAATAAATAAATAAATTAAAAAAAATTTCCGCCTCCTCCCAGCCTCCCATTTCTCTCCCCCTCCTCCCACTCCTCTCCCCCTCCCCCCACTCCTCTCCCCCTCCCTCTCCAGTCTGAAGAGCAGTCAGGGTTCCCTGCCCTGTGGAAAGTCCAAAGTCTTCCCCCTTCCATCCTGGTCTAGGAAGGTGAACATCCAAACTGGCTAGGCTCCCACAAAGCCAGAACATGAAGTAGGATCAAAACCCAGTGCCATTGACCTTGGCTTCTCAGCAGCCCTCATTGTCCGCCAAATGGAAGAATGGATGAAGAAAGTGTGGAATATATACACCGTAGAGTACTACTCAGTGGTAAAAAACAATTACTTCTCGAATTTTGCATGCAAATGGATGGAAATAAAAAACACTATCCTGAGTGAGGTAACCCAGACCCAAAAAGATGAACATGGGATGTACTCACTCATAATTGGTTTCTAGCCATAAATAAAGGTCAGTGAGTCTATAATTCGATATCCTAAAGAAGCTAAATAAGAAGGTGAACCCAAAGAAAACATATAGCTATCCTCCTGGTTAAGGGAAGTAGACAAGATTGCTGGGCAAAAAATTGGGATCTTGGGGGTGGGGTGGGAGGGGGGTAAGGGGAGATGGGGAGAGAAAAGTGAGAAGGGGAGGATGGGGGGAACGTGGGGAAACGAGATGATTGGGATAAAGGAAGGTTGGATAGGGGAGCAGGGAAGCACATATCTTAGTTAAGGAAGCCACCTTAGGGTTGGCAAGAGACTTGAACCTAGAGTGGCTCCCAGGTGCCCAGAGAAATGTCCCCAGTTAGTTCCTGGGGCAGCTGAGGATAGGGAACCTGAATTGACCCTATCCGATAGCCATACTGATGAATATCTTGCATATCCTTCCCAAGTCTTATCTCTTCTCTGCACCCTAGTGAAGTCTACAGAGCAGCAAGGACTGCCAGCCTCTCTGGAACCTTCCAAAGTAATAAGGGAGGATTTATTCTTTGGGTGAGAATGGCCACATGGCTGGTGACTTAGCACACTCCACTCAATGGGGGTTGCATCTCAGATCTAACTTGTCCCCACCCCTGACTCTAGTCAGGACAGGATTCTTTGTAGGCAACATGCAAGGCAAGGGCTCATTCCTCATTCTGCTGCATGCTAAAACTCTTTCCTGGTTCCAGCTCACTAGGGAAGGACCCTATGGAAGACCATGGGCCCTCTTGAGGAAACGTGTCCAGGAGCAGAGGCCTGTGAAGCTCGCAGTCAGTGGACACAAGCTAATGACTGGAAATATTGACAAAGAACCACAATAAATATTTTATGGTTGTCACTCAACACACACGCATGAATTCACACATACAAACATAATGAGAGAAGCACAAGAATATAAAAAATTTTCAAAATTAATGTTTATTTTATTCATTTTAATTCATTGGGCTCTCAGCCTCTGTTGATTTCATAGACCCTAGAGTGTGAACAGTTTGAGAGATTTTAGAAGTCAAACTCCCATGTCATCTGTGAGATAAAGGATTCTGTCTTTGCTGGAAAGGCAGTGGAAATTGAGAGAGAGAGAGAGAGAGAGAGAGAGAGAGAGAGAGAGAGAGAGGAGATGCCGACATCCTCTTCCTGCTGTTCCCAAAGGGAAAGAAATTTTCACTGAAGGAGCCACGGGAATGTGAAGGGGAAAGCACAGGGTGACTGTGATCCCCAAACTTGTACACAATAGTTAAAAAATATCAAGGACAATTTCTGGATACCAAAATGGGTTTATGTATTCTTGGGTTTTGTTTTGTTTCTTGCTCTTTTTAAAATAGGATCTGGCTCACTGTGTAGCCCAGGCAGGCCTAGAATAAAACACTTTCTTACATTAAAATATATATATATATAGTCATTTTATTGAGTCTAAAATACTGGGGGGGTGTTTTTTTTTTAATCTGAAGAAGAGAAGATTTTACTGTTGTTATCAGTTTGGCTCGATACTTGCGCATTATTATTGATTAGCATTATTGCTGAATCCTCCTTGTCCCCATGCCAAGCAGCTGAATCTCTGCCCCTACTTTCCAGGAAGGGCAAACAAAGTACAAGGTCGGCCCCACAGATTAATTCGCCGCTGCAGGTGCTCCCTGCAGACAGACACTCCAGCTGGACTGAGGGCCCAGCCATGTCTCTACTGGCAGCTGTTCTGCTGCTCTGGGGTAAGATGTCCTGGGGCCTGGAACCTCTGGGGCAGGTGTGGTATGGACAGAAACTCACAGACTCTGTTCCTACAGGTTTCACTCTGGGACCAGCCACTGCTGTGTTTGTCTGTAAGTTCAGCAATAGGGCCTGGGACCGGGGGAGAGGGGAGGGGTATGGTTACTTGGAAACCCCTTTCCTAACAGCAGTAAGTTAACCATGGCTCTTTTTTACTCCAGATACTTCCAGCGAAGCTACCCTATGGGCAGACCCTCAGTCCCTGCTGCAACCCTGGGCCAACCTGACACTCACGTGTCAGGCTGAATTCCCTACCAAGGACTTCCAGCTGATTATGAATGGTTGGCGTCTCGATAAAGTCCACCTTGATAAATACGTCAGGTCACACCGGTTCCACCTGGGGGCAATTACAAGCAGCAACAGGGGCCTCTACCGCTGCCGATATGGCGTGGAGCCCCCCACTAGTAAACTAACCGAGCTGAACAGGTGGACAATGCTAAGCAATCCTGTCGAGGTGACAGGGACAGGTAAGCGGGGCCGTAATGGGGTCATCAGGCAGCGGAGGGAAGTAGATGGAAAAGCTCCCATTTGTGTCACCTGCTAGCTCTTAGCCTCAGTTCGCTCATCTGCCAAGTGGGAATGTTTATGCTGTCCCCAGAGGCTTGTGAACAATGACTCGCATCGGGAACCAGCCTGACACAGAGGAATGTTTGGCTCCCTGTCTCTTTCTCTAAACCCCACACCCACACCTCCTGCTGCTTCTGCCCCCCTTCTATTTTTTGAGTCTGGACTCCATACTCTGACTTTCTCTGGAGTGAGACTGAAGCACTCACCATCCCTGCCCTCCCACTCCGCAGAGCCCTTGCCCCGACCCTGGCTTTCTGCTGAGCCAGTGCCCTGGATCACCCCTTTCCTGGGCACATACCTGCTATGTCAAGCTGCAATGCGGGGCGTCACTTTCCTGCTGAGGTTGGAAGGAGATGATAGCTTTCTGAAGGTGACTACAGCCCAAGACATGGAAAAGGCCTGGTTTGTAGTCCACAAACCTGGCAACTACAGCTGCAGCTACCGAACTCACGCAGAGGGCATTCCCTCTGAGCCCAGTGCTTCTATGACCATCAAAGAGTATGGTGAGTGTTGAACCCCAACAATGAAAAGCCGGCATAAGACTGAGTGCGTGGTGTCCAGAGATAAGCTGGCTGCCCCTGAGCTGTCACTAGAAGACAGAGGTTCGGGGACCCTCCAAACCAGGGTGTCCTTACTTCTTCTCAGTGATCTTCCCTGCCTTACAGCCACAGCACCTCCGCCCATTCTGTACTTTATGGGAAATTACCCAGCGGTCCAGCGTCGGAGCACACAAGAGACCCTGGCCTGCAAAGCTCCTCGTAATGCAGCTGAATTCCAACTCAGGCGGGGTGAGAAGGTGCTAAACATTCATGGGGTGAGCCCTCTCCGAGACCTCAGACTCTACTTCCTGAACTTGACCGAGCTGGAAGACCAAGGCCCTTTTACCTGCCGCTACCGTCTACACAGAAAGTTGGACACTTGGTCTGAAGACAGTGAACCCATAGAGCTCATGTGGACTGACGGTGAGTCTTGTAGCCTGAATTAAAGAAAACAAAACAAAAACGAAACAAAACAAAACAGAGACAGATATTGAGGTTCAACCTGAAGATCAGAAAAGCAAAACAACCAAGCCACTAGAGAGCCTTATCTTTAAGAAATCTTCAGACTGAAAAAGAATGAGTTCCTGTTTCATTCCACCTTACATTCCTCTCTAGTGCTGGGATTAAAGGCATGTGACTCCCTAGTACTGGGATTAAAGGTATGAGCCATCACCACCTGGATCTGTTGCTGAATTGATCTTGTGTAGCTTAGGGTGGCCTTTAACTCACAGAGTCTGCCAGTGTCTCCCAAATGCTGGGATTAAAGGTGTGAGACACCACTGCCTGGCCTCTGGTGGCTTAGTTTTACCCTCTGACCTTCAGGCAAGCTTTATTTATAAACTATATATAAAATATCACTATAGAGCTTCACAGCAGGACTGTAGACAAGAGTGGGCTGGAAAGTCAAAGGTGGTGATCAGAAGTAAGCAGGATGGGGACCCCCAAAGCAGAACCTCCAAATTTTAACATATTACCTACTCAGCTGCCATTGCCCAAGCTTTAAATAGGACAATTAATACAGCAACCTTGAGCCCCAGCAAAGAACTGGATCACCAGAGAAGTCTGGCACAGAGTTTAGTGGACCACTACATGTCAGGGTATCCTAGCAGGGATGAGGTAGGCTTGCTGTGTGCCCAGAGATTGACAAGGCTGAGATGTTGAGAGGGTGGTACAGTATTAAGCACTGTTGTTTTGGTGAAGGCTGAGTTAGCATAGGTTAGCATAGGCTGGACGGTGCTTGTTGTGTCTTCAGATTGGGCCAATGTGTCTGATCCTCTACAGAGACACTGCCTGCACCCACGCTCACTGCGGAGCCATCAAGTCAGAACCTTGAACCTGGCTCGACCGTGCATCTTCGATGTACTGCACCCAAGGCTGGCCTCCGCTTTGGCCTCCAACGCCAGGGTGACTCCGAGGAGCCTCTGCTCCAGATGCTGAAACCGTCTGGTACCGAAGCTGTCTTTGAGCTGCACAATATCTCAACAATAGACTCTGGCAACTACAGTTGTACCTACATGGAACAGGAAGCCCCCTTCTCAGGGTCCGCTCCCAGTGAACTCCTGGAGCTCCACGTGAAAGGTGAGCTGAGCATGGCCAGAAGGGTAGAGGGTTCGATGTGGTCCTAACTTAGGGACCAGAGTTCCTGGGTTGTAATCCTGTCAACGGTCATCCTTCCTGGGTTATGCGTTAATGAGGCATTAGACTTTGAGAATTTTGAGGTGGCCTTTCGCAGGTGAGGTATAAAACCCTGGTTTGTTCTCTGTGCTCTGAGGTGGAAGGCAGCTCGTAGAACCATGATCAATGATGTTAGGATGCAAACTTTTCTTGTTCCGACCCACTCTCCCGTGCTTTAGATTCCCTGGAGTGCATGCATGGAAGTCCATTCACATCACTGATAGACTTGAGATAATGTGCCCATTTACATAGGAGAGGCCTGGGCATTATCAGTCCTTCAATTGCCTCACTAAGGTCTCAGTAGGTCAGAGTTCACTCACAAAAGACTACACAAAGGCATCAGCCCCACTCAGACCTCTGAACCGTGCTTCTGCTACAAGCACTTTTGTGAAAGATCTCTTTGCCACTACAACACTTTGGGCATCTGAGAAAGTCATGGGACAGACCAAGGGCCTGGTGGATCTCATAGACATTGTGATTTGAGGGTCCCGACACCTAGAGGAGATGTAGATTTTCTAGCACCAGCGCTTATGACGCAAGGCAGGAGAGGGAGCTGCCTGGCTCAGAGCAGACAGTGCAAAGGAGCAGATCCTCCATAAGGCCTGGCAGAAGTTGTTACAACCTCCTTGCCATCCTCCCTGACAGGGCCACCACCCCGGCCGAAGCTTGAAGCTCTGTGGACAGGAGTTGTACCTCTGGGCCATGAAGCCCACTTTCGCTGCCACGGCCATGTGCCCAAGGTCAACATGGAGCTGGTACGTGAGGGCTTCCGCACACCCTTCTGGATGAATCAAGCTATGACTAGTACCTCAGCGGAACTGAAGCTGCCCTTTGTGGGTCCCCAACACACAGGCAACTACAGCTGTCGCTATACAGCCTTGTCACCCTTCAATTTTGAGTCAGGAACCAGCGACCCCGTGGAGGTTATAGTAGAAGGTAAGGCTTCCAGAACTGTGGTAAGGTTTTGCCTCTTGATATTGCAAGGGCTGTACACTGGTTAATTGCTTAATTAACTACAGTGTGCAAAAGGTCCTGTGGCAATTTGAAGAGTCAACGCATCCACTTTTTTTTTTTGTCTAGGTATCTGACGTGGCTGCAGACACAAGAAACAATGGTACCCTTGGAAAAGGTTGAAGACAGGAAGAACTCCTGTTCTTCCCAATGTAAGATGCCTCTCCTTCAATCTCCCTGGACTTAATAAAAGTCAAACAAGAGTTTGTTTAAAGTGTGTCATCTACTTGTGTGTCCAGGGTGGTTTCAGGTGGGGAGCAGGCTGCTCTTTGAGACCTGCCTTGCGTCCTTAAAGAGGGTAGGCTGAGAGTTGGATCCCAAGGACAGAAGGGTGAAGGCCTGCTGCCGTTGCCCCATTTCTCAAGATCCCTTTCACCTGCCCTTCTTTCTGGCTACCTCTTAGCTCCCAGGCATTTCTCCCTCCTTCTACCAAGTGTGTGCGTGCAGCCTGGAGTGCTGGCCATGCCTGTCTTAGCTTGGAAGGGTCTGCCCCCACTCTAGCAGTTGGTTAGAAAATGCCACATTAAAGAGTTCTGCCTGTGTTTTCATTTTTTTACGAATAAGCGCTGATGGGTGTCATCGGAGTGTGTCCAAATCAATGCACTATCTGAAGTGACTCAGCTAGAACAAACCAAAACAACAAAACATCTTCAGAGCTGAGCCAATCTTTTGTTCCCTTCAAGCCTCAGTGGAGCCAGAGACTAAAGCCTGAAGGGCTGATCCCTGAAGCAGAAGTGGCCCTCAGCTCAAAAATGCCCTGCCCCCTGCCTTGTACACCAGCAGTCCCTTGCTGCTTGTCCCCAGGATAACTCAGAGACACTTCATGCCTCCCTGTGACCCCTGCTTCTTCAGTCCTTTGTTGAGAGGGCCCTTCCTTCTCCTTCACCCCTCACATGCATACTAAAATACTGACTCATGCTTCAAAGCTGAAGGATCCTTCCATTATTTGTTTTTCTCCAACAAGTTCTAATTGGAAGTTCAGCAGCATAATCCAGAAGTCAGTTTGGTTCATGGAAACAGCAAAAATGAAGAACACAAGGTCCCTGTTCTTAAACAAAATTCATTCTAAGGCTGGACAAATAGTTTAGCGAGTAAAAGCTCTTAACCCACAAGCAAGACCATCTCAGTCAACACCCAGAGTCATAATGAAATGGATAACTAAGAAGGATGTAGTTGGTGGCAAGCATCTGTAATCCCAGTGTTCCTACAGTGAGATGGAGGGGAGCCAGGGGAAATAGAACACCTCCAGGCTTGGAGGACAGAGTGATCTAAAGGAAGAGACATTCTGTCTTGACAGGAGACGTTGAGAGAATAAACTCTCCACAGACATCTTCTGATCTGTCTGGACACAACCATGTACACAACCCTGCTCACATATACACATATAATAATGAATCAATAGTTTAGTTATGTGCAGTAAGATGCACTCATAGCCAGAGATGCAGTGCAAGAATTCTAGTGAGCGCACAGTGCTGCGCATAGACCTCCATCTTGAACTCCTTGAGAATATCATAATAGGTCACACAGGCTCTCTGGGGTTGTTGGCCCCTGACATAGCCTAAGATGTGAAGGAGAAGACAGGAATTCTAGGAAATAGCAACCGTTTCACCTAATATCATTATTCCCAGTTTAGAGATGAGCAAAACTGAGTGAGTGTCCCCAAATGCTGAGTTAACAAGCAGCAGGGCTGTTTCCTCTCCCAGTGCATAGCAGCCTAAAGCACTTTCTAACTCATCAACTCAGCCTGGCTTTAACTTACCCTGGGAATCCTGGCACAAAGGATCCAGAGGGATGACCTTTTTGTTTTTGTCTTGAGACAGATCTCACTATACAGCCCAAGCTAGCTTCGGACTCCTGATCTTCCTAATCCTCCTGCCTCAGCATCCAAACCACTAGGAATGTAGACATATGACATTGTGCTCAGTCCTACTGTGAAGACATAAGAAGAAAAAGGAACAGAGCAGAACAGGTATGGACTGCTCTACACTGGGCCACACCCTAAGCCAGAGGTTTCTGCTGGAAGCCAGTTAGTGTGGGATTGGGAAACACCCTGATGGGATAAACTTTACCTTAAAGCAGGGGTGCCATGATGTTCAAGGAGACCATTTGTGCGATAGGAGATGAGCATCGATGATTTGAAAGTGGAACAAACTGGGGATCACTTCTGAACTGTTTGGTCAATAGGGGAGTGTTCCTTGAAAACATAATGAGGGTCTTCACTTCTCTTCTATGTAACGATGACAACTTGATCTACATATTATGGAGCTGTAATAAAGGTCAAATTAAGTAATAAACATGATATACCACATGAGCTAGGTTCTCATGAACTTCTGTGTCTTGCAAAGATGTCCCTCTGTCCTAAGGAGGTATGTCTGGGTCCATTCATTTCCTCAGCCACAGATCAGGCAAGAGTCTGAGACCTTTCTCCATAGAACAGGGGAGATCCTGGTAAGAACCCTGCCAGGGAGTGGCTTCAGATAGATCCTCAGGGCATGGAGCTGTGCTTGTTAGAGACAAAATAGGAGGAATAGAGTCCATCCTTAGGAATAACCAAGGGAGCAAGGATCCACCCATCCCCTCAGGGAAAGAACAGTTAATTGTATCATTAATAATACTTAGCAGAGTCCCAGTGTTCTCTCAAGCTAATTAATTCTGTTCCACATCCTGGAAAATGAATGACTGGGTGTGTCTGAATTCAGGATGTGAAGAAGCACGGTCTCCACAATGTCTGATGAAGACAAAAGCTGTATCACTGTTTCCTAGAGCCAAGTCACCCAGGGCAAAAAGAAGCCATTAAGCCCTGGTGGGTATTCAGCCCTTTATCAAGTTTTATTTATTTCAGATGAGTACAATTACCCAAGGAAATAACAATACAAAAAAATCCACTTTGTCATTTTCATTCTAACAATGTGTCACAAGGGACAGCACCAGGAAGTCTTGGGATTAATTATGCCGTATGATGGTTGAAATTGGTTTTATCTCTTTCCCTGGAACTTAGGATCAAGCTCTTGTGCCATGATGTGACTTGAAGTTAGCTGCTCAACTCCAGTCTTCTGCTTGGTGTGTTTTGCCAACTAAAATCTTGGGATGCTAATAAAACACACCATTTCCTTGCCTATGTAGCAGGGGATTGTCACCCACGAACCATTAGAAGGGACGAACCAAGTTACAGAATAAAGGCAAATAAATACTCAGAGCTGCGCACGGAAGAACCATGTTGAACTGTTAGACCCTAGGAATTGCCTGCCAAACATTTATTTTTGTTGCTACTTCCTAACTGTAATTTTGGTAACGAGTGGTGTCTCACATCCTAGGAACATCCAGAAATAAGTGGTTTTTTGGTGCCCACAACCCACAGGTTGAGAACTGCAGGTTTAGAAAGCTAGTGAGATGCAGAACCACCAGTGAGATGGTCGGTAAACCGTGAGTAAAACGTCATCCTCTAGGCGCAGCATGGCCACTGCTGGCTTGAAATAAAAGCCAGTGTGATGACAGGTAAGATAATCTCAAAAAAAATCATGTGTCCAGGCCTATTAATATTCTGTTGTAGGACAGAGGGCAGGAACCATCAGACTCTCTCACCAGAGAGTCCACCCACCATTCTCCTGCTCCCTGAGCATGCCCAGTGCTAGAGTTAGAGACAATAGGGGGTGGAGTTGGAACTCTAGTGAAAGTGCCCCTTTGGTGAGTTGTCACCAATACCAACATGGAGTTTTCCAAAGACACAGTTCTTGTTACGTCGCTCATGTACCTATAAGCATCCCTCACCCATAAAAATAACCCCATGACTTCCTTGCTCATCTTCTCCCTCCTTCCTCTCCTCATTGGGACCTTGGGAGCTCAGTCCAGTGCTCCAATGTGGGTCTCTGTCTCTATCTCCATCCATCACCAGATGAAGGTTCTATGGTGATATGCAAGATATTTGTCAGTATTGCTATAGGATAGGGTCGTTTCAGGTTCCCTATCCTCATCTGCCCAAGGAACTAACTGGAAACATTGCCTTGGGCTCCTGGGAGCCACTCTAGGTTCAAGTCTCTTGTCAACCCTAAGGTGGCTCCCTTAACTAAGAATTGTGCTTCTGTGCTCCCCTATCCAGCCTTCCTTTATCCCAATCATCTTGTTTCCCCAAGTTCCCCCCATCCTCCCCTTCTCACTTTTCTCTCCCCATCTCCCCTTACCCCCAACCCACCCCACTCCCAAGATCCCAATTTTCTCCCCGGCAATTTTGTCTACTTCCCATAGGCAAGAGGATAAGTATATGTTTTTCCTTGGGTTCACCTTCTTATTTAGCTTCTTTAGGTTCACCAATTGTAGACTCTGTGACCCTTATTTATGGCTAGAAACCAATTATGAGTGAGTACATCCCATGTTCATCTTTTTGGGTCTGGGTTACCTCACTCAGGATAGTGTTTTCTATTTCCATCCATTTGCATGCAAAATTCGAGAAGTCATTGTTTTTTACCGCAGCGTAGTACTCTACTGTGTATATATCCCACACTTTCTTCATCCATTCTTCCATTGAAGGACATCTAGGTTGTTTCCAGGTTCTGGCTATTACAAATAATTCTGCTATGAACATAGTTGAACAAATGTTTTTGTCATATGATCGGGCATCTCTTGGGTATATTCCCAAGAGTGGTATTGCTGGGTCCACAGGTAGTTTGATCCCGAATTTCCTGAGAAACCAAAAAAAAAAAAAAAAAACCATATACTCATTGGTTCAGGAACTAGATTTAAATGGAGACGTGCCTGAGGTCTGATGGTGTCCAATCTGAAGGAAGTGGGTATTTCTGTGTATCTTCCCTGGAAAAGTCACACAACTGTTGCTCAAGTACGTAATGTACAGCTTCTGTACAGTCAAGGAAAGCAAAGCACATGCAAAACATGACCATGGTTCCCTGAGGAGCTGGGAACTTCAAGTTGACAGTGACATGTGCCATTACAAATATCCTAGTAGCAACACACACAAATGTAGACATGCATATAATATACAAGGAGGGCCCCAGGGATGAATAAAGATTAAGGAAGTAAGAGACTTCATTTGCCCTGCAGGATAGTGACAGAGTGTGTATCTTCTAAGATCTCTCTCGTGTGGTGGTATTTCAATTGGTCTAGATTGAAACTTCAGATGCCAAACCATGGAATGTATCCCAGAGAGATGTGGGACATTATCCGTCTTCTTTATGTATAGGTGACCTGGTACCTAGACTA